AGCTTGAACCACCAACCTTGCGAGTCAAATGGACTTTGAAGTCCAGTGCATTAACCCACAGCACCACACTAGGACTGCATGCATATTGTTGTTGTTAAGTGTCATTTTGTAGCTTCAGACCCATACCGACCCTGCATAGGGTTTCTGAGGAACAGCTGGTGAGCTTGGACCATGGACCTTGTGGTTCAAACCAGCACTGCAGTCCAGAGCATTAGCCCACTGTCCACACCAGAACTTGTAAGTCATTGAAAACTACCAAGGCTTGGGTCAGACACACCTTAGCCTGCAAAATACTCTGTTTGCTTTTGAACACTTTAAAGAGATCTTTTGCAGCAGACCTCTTTAATATATATGCAGTATTTTGTTTTTCATTCTGTTGTTGCTATGAGTTGGAACTGATTCTATGACACCTAACAACAACTCTCTCTCATATCTATCTATCATCTATCTATCTATCTATCTATCTATCTATCTATCTATCTATCAATCTATCTATCTATCCACACACATATATATGCATGTACATATTATAAGCACTGGACTATGAACCACAAGGGTGGCAATTCAAGTTTACCAGTAACTTCTCAGAAGAAAACTGAGTCTTTCTGCTCACACAAAGATATACAGCCTCAGAAACACTATGTTGTTGTTGTTAGGTGCCATCGAGTCGGTACTGACCCATAGCCACCTTATGCACAGCAGAACAAAACACTGCCTGATTCTGGGCCAATTTCACTACTGTTACCACACTTGAGTCTATCGATGCTGCCACTTGGACAATCCATCTCACTGGGGGATTTCCTCTTTTTCTCTGATCCTCCACCTTACCAAACATGATATCCTTCTCCAGAGACTGGTTCCGCAGGACAATATGTCAGACGTATGAGAGACGAAGTTTGGCCATCTTGGATACAGGATCTTTATGAGTCAGAATTGACTCAGTGGCATTTAACACCTATATATATATATATTTCCAAATGAATGAATATATTTTAGCTGCATATAAATTCTTAGGTATTAAATGTATCATATTAAATCAAGGAAATACATAAATATAATTATTAAAAAAAGCTTTCAAACTAACTTTTTAATTTGGGTCTTTTGAGATTAAGTCATGAATGCTAAGCTATTAAAAACTAAAAAGAAGTAAGACTACCTTTCAAAATTCTTCAGAATGAAATTATCAGGCAGCTTCGGGTCACTAAAGTAGGAAAATACAAACTAGGTAAATATGGCCTCTCTTTTTAAGAAAACTATTGCTCTTTTGAAACTGAAGAGGGCAATTCTGTGTTTGCAAACGTCTAACATACGACAAGGAACATGGGGTTCTCACATTAGCTATTGTATATCTATCTCACAAGGTGTCTTAGTGTTCAGAAGTTTAAGCAGATATGAAACAAGTATTGCACTACTTACAGTATGAAGGTGGATTGGAGATGAGAGACAGAATTTACAATATATGATCAAAGCAGTTTTATTAATAATTAATGGTGGTACTCTTCTCATATATTTTAAAAAATAAATTGAAGATCAAGTCATAGACAAGTCTCCCTGTCAACACCTTTCCCTGAGTCAGCTTTCTTCTCTTTTCGGCTTTCATTGCTATGGAGGAAAAAGGAGACATTGATTACTGTAACCCTGCATGGCGACTGTGAGAACAGCTTGCTCAGACACCAAACCCGCCCACCCATCCTCAAACCACACCAGAGCCCAAAAGGAACTGCTCTCTCATGCTGTGAAGCAGAGATCAATATCAACAATTAAAAATCCTCTGCACTCAGTGGGATAGAAATCAAGAACTGCAGAGAGGGGGCAAATTCAAAATACTGAAACAAAAGAAACAACAAGGAGAGATTTTTAAAACAGTTTCTAAAGCATGCATGATTAATACCACGGTCCCCTTTTGGGCAAATGAATCACTGATGATTGCTGAATGTGCTAGTCATGCCCCTATCTTAAGACAGCATCAACACCAGTAAATGACACAAACAAGACATCACAGCAAGCATTTCTAGGTTTTGCTACAAGTGGGCCATCCTTTTTACACAAACTGATCCTGATCTTTGGTGAGGACTATATCTGGGGTTCCATTGGCTTCAATGAGGGGGTCATAGTGTACACTGCTCCAGACAGCTATGCCCTCTCTAAACACACAAACCCTCACCCTGTGGATCAAATGTTTCATCTTCGAAACAATGCTTCACCTCAGACTTTCCAGAATACAGTCCAAAGTGGCTTTCATTTTGATCACTCCCCAGTTAAATTCACCAATGGCAATATGACTGTCTCATTTGTCTGTTTTTTTCAATATTCTTCCAATTGATGTTTCCTATTCTCACATTGTCAGTTTTCATGGGAATTTCATATAATGTCTTCAAATGCATGGAGTGTACTGAGTACAAGCTTCCAGAGGGGCAGAGACCCTCACTCGCCAGCTTCTTTCAGCATACTGCAAAGTCCTTACATCTGTAGCTTCTCTGGGCCCCTCCCTGCAGCTGACATGAAGGCAACCAACAGTCAGTCCTTGAAGTCCTGTGCTGGGAGAAGCCCCCATGTTTAGGATTAACTTTATCCTTCAATGTAAATGTATGAGATAATTGATGGTGGGGAACCCTTGGTTTTATAACTTTTTCAAGTAATCAAGTGACAGTTAAAAACCTCTATTTTAATGTGGGCCTCCTGTGCAGCTGATTCCTCAGTGGTCAATAACTTAGACACATTCTAAGAGTGTGTTTTTTAAATTGTTTTTCCTCCAATTCAAGCTAGAAACAGCCCTTCTCAGTTGTCACCACCGCCCGGCACCATCAGGTAAGAAGTGCCGGAGCTTCTGCCATCTGTGGCATGCTGCCAGCACTGAGAGCTGGTGTGAGTAAGTGTCTATGGCACTCGGGTTTGTGCCTGCCACACTTCTCAGCACATACTACTTACAGGTCAGAGCAAAGCCACTTTTTTCCCTTTTCTTTTCTCCTTCCATGAGATGAGATGACAGTGTGCACATGATGTGTTGAGAGTCTTAACTTTGTATTTTTAACTTCTCTATCTGCATGACTCACTTTCTTCTACTGAAAGTTCCTTTCATATGACAAGTGACGGCTACTCTGCTTTTTAAATTAAGTTTTCCTTGGACTCTACTTGGCTTCTAGCCTCTTCTATCAAATAAAGCCAATGAATGAGAGCATCTGTGGGGCACTGGATGACATCTAGGCTTGGAGGGAGAAGATGTGGGTCCAAGTTCCAGAAGTTAACAATGAGTTGGATGCCCTTTGACTAGTTACTTAATCTCCCTGGGACTTGGACTCCTCATCTATAATTAGGTTTGGACTTGATGGCCTGCAGGTTCTCTTCTAGTTTGAATTCTAGAATCCCAAGGCTGGTATTCCCAATTCCAATGGGCTCTACCTTTTGAAAGACAGAATAGCAGCTACTCCACAGCACATAACAACAACTATAACAGATAGAACATTGTTTGAAACACAAAGTCAGTGGTTCAAGCTCACCAACCACTCCTCAGAAACCCTATACAGGGTTGCTATGAGTAGGAACTGACTAGATGGCACTTAACAACAACAATAATAGCACATTGTGGGGACACTTGTCAAATTCATGTTTACATATAAACAATTCCTTTGTATACAATACTTTGGAGCATAGAAAGAGTCCCATAACCTTTTGATAAATGATTTCCCAATGCAACAATTAGTCACCAAGCAGTGAAAAAAAAAAAAGATCCAGAATGTTGACTTGAACTACTGACGTGCTTCCCCTAATACCCAGATTTGGTCATACTGGTTACTTGGGTATAAAACAATAACTGGTTGAATGTCTGTGTATTTCCTTTTATTCTTTAAAGCCAGTGGATTTGGTATCAGATTTCAATAAACTATGAGTCAGAAGTTTTATATACAGTTCAAGACTGCTCTGAAAAAAGTATTTTTGACTTGTACCTTCCTACTATGAGTAGTACTTTCTTCATTCCTTATTACATGCATGTTTCTGGATGCCAATCAAATCAAAGCTCTTTCATAATAAACATATTGCACATCTATTTTACACCACAGAAATAAACAAATGTTACATATCTATTATGTGCCAGGTACTTTGCAAGGACTAGTTACAAGGTAAATAAAAGTGATTTAGTTCTTGAAGAGTTAAAATTTTAAGTACACCTCGCTGCAGGCTAATGTGCTGGACTGTAATGTTGGTTTGAACCACATGGTGGGTGATTCAAGCTCTCCAGCTGTTTGTTGGAAACCCTATACAGGTTCACTATGAGTAGGAACTGACATGATGGAAATTAACAACAACAACAAACCCCACTATTGACTATCTTATTATCTGGCATTTCATATTTACGACCATAGTAAAACATCTATCCAACTATTTTACACATTAATGATGTATATCTGGCAGTAGCAAACACACATAGATGCAAGGTAAGAGTAAGGATGGCTGCGATGGTTAAAGTTTTATATCAACTTGGCTGGGCCATGCATGATTGTCCGTGATTTGACATGTATGTAATGATGTAATTTGGCAGTTATATAATGATGCCAAATTATTATTTGTCAGCCTCCATTTGTGATCTGATGTGGTCATCCTCCATTTTTGCATAATGCTGATTTCACATAACAACCTGGTCTTTAGAACCTAGCCATATAGATAAACGAGAGAGGATGTATAGGAAGTAAGGTTTCATGAGAGAGCAAAAAGTAATCAGGTACTTTCATGCTTCTAAGTGATTTATGAAACTGCTACTTTTCAATGGCAACAAAATGGTTGCTATAAGCAAATTTACCGAGAAGTCCCGTTTTATGTAATCAGAGAATTAGACTCCAGGATACAGAGGGAAATGGAAGCATGAGGAGGATGGCCTCAGAACCTAGCTTCTGCCACTAAGGCAAAATTAAGTAAAAGTAGTTACTCACCTAGTCTGATAAAATGTGTTCTTGTTTTTTGTTTTGTTTTGTTTTTCTGGCTATATGACAACTGTATCCTGGGTGAACTTTTAAAAAATAACTTGATTAATTTTTGGTTATTGAGAATATACTTAGAGAACATACACCAATATGACAACATCTACATGTACAACTCAGTGCCACTGATTACATTCTTCAGGTTGTATAACCATTCTCATTCTCATTGTGCAAACTGTTCCTGTCCATTAACATAAACTCATTAGCCTCTTAAGTTTTTAATGAGACTTGGTGTGGTGCTGTAGGATAAGGACTGGACTGGTATACAGGGTCGCTAGGAGTTGGAACCAGTTTGATGGCACTTAACAAAAACAACATTTCCACTAATCTACTTAGTAAGTTTCAAGAAGAGATTTTCACTTATATTTACAGTATTGTTAAACTAGGATCAAAATTAGACTTTCTACATATGTGGTAGAATTTCTTAAATTCTCCTTTTAGTTATACTAGACAAAATATTTGTTACAAAGGAAAGTGAATGAAATAGTTGAGAAAATACAACTGTTATTCCAAACTCCTCTAAGAAAAGGCAGCTAGCTAGCCTTCTCTGATAGGCACACAGGGGCCTATAGCAAAGGGTAGTAGATAGAGATAGATCAACTAGCTGGGAGTCAGAGTCTGCATGGGAGCCACATTAGTAGACACAGACACTAATGACGGGGTCTTTAGATCTTTTTGCCCAACAAATACTGTAAATAGCAAGAGAAAGCAATGGCTTCAGAAGGAAATTGCTTCTACTAGTATTGGTAGCTTTAGGACTTTAGGACCCACATTCTTTCTGTCGGTTACCAGTTAGAAGGATGAAAACACTAGCCACCCAGAGATATCATTATTTCACATGGAAAGCTACAGATTTTATTATACTGAAAAGTAAAAAATCTGGGCAAACTTTCATTCCAGTAATATTTTGGACCTCACATCATTGGGAATATATGTTCAAACTATAAGAAACAAATTGTTATAACAAAATATAAAGGATAGTCTATTTTAAATTGCATTTGCTTAAAGTACCTTACATTGTTTAGCAAAGTTGTTCTACCACCTGAAGATTTAATTCATATTTCAAATCTAGATACATACTTTTAAAAACAACTAGGATTTTCTGAGGAAGAATGTCATTTGACATTACTATTTCCTTTGAGGATTATCTAAAATATCAAGCCATAAGAGTTTTTACTTGAACCAAAGAAAAATAGAGGAAGAGTTTGGACTATGGATCCATGTAGTAAAAGAAGAAAAGCAATCTACAAGCCTGATTGTCTCCAATTCCCCACATATTTCTCACAGCCAGCATTTAATTTGAACCTCAAAACTGGATTTCACATTTTCAAATATCAAAGAAAGCCATATTTTTAATGTGAAAGAGTTCACAAACGCTTATTTCACTGGGCTTGAGAAATTATCTTTCTTACAATGCTCTGATTTTCTTCCAAGAGTTCTAGCAAAACAGAATAATTGTGAGGATGATAACTGTAACAGAGTTCTTTGGGAAAGGAAGATAAATAAGGCAAGGTTTAGAATAAAATATTATTCTGCTTGAGACAAGCAAGGACATATGTAAAGGTTTTCTAACCTTTAAAAGAAAGCAAACAATAGCCAAAAGGCTATAAGACAGTCTACTGAGTCACTTATAGGAACCTCCTTTGTAGTAAGTATTGAAGGTAGTTGAGAGTGAGAGAGAGAGACATATATATATATATATACACAGAGAGAGAGAGAGAGAATCAGGGCTAACCCCCAGCTTCTGAAGTGAAGACTCTCTGGACATCTATTGTTTGTCTTGCTTATGCTAATTTGGGGTAGAGATGACAGTGAAAGAGCATGCTATTTTGGGGTGACAAAAAGATAGCAACAAGAGACACATATTCCACATTTAATATAACCTCTTCCTCCAACATATGTTTACAAATATTTCCCATGATGCTAGATAAAGCCTGCAGGTTTGGATCCATGATGGTGCATAAATGGAAGCTCCCAGATTTGCAATTGCTTAATTTAAGGAATGAATTTTTCTTTTTTCCAATTTAGAAATTTGATATCATTACTAAATACAGTTCTGTGGGATTTACTGATTCATGTATGATGTATTTGCATAAGTCTCAGAAGGAATGAAAAAAAGTTTCCTGAAGCTTCAAATCTCCATAGAGCTTCATAGAGCTGAGCAGTTATAGAAACACCATTGATACTCAGTCTAATACAGGATCTGATTAGTTATAGGAACACCATTAACACTCAGTCTGATATGGGATCTGAGTCTAGGACTCTCCATGACTTTTGCCTCCCCAAAACTCACACAGAGGACATAGACTGACCAGGTTTCTGGAAGACACCATTTAACATAAGGAGACGCAATCAAGGAATAGATTTGAGGGTGGGGGTCTTACCTTTGGGAAATCAGCTTCTAGAGTGATTAGGAAGGGGAGCTTATGACAAAAATGTAATATAAAAATTAAGTAGAAAATGTTAATTTAAGATAATGAAAATAAAGAACTTAATAATTACAGTAATTACAGTACACTGTTCCCAATCCCTCAATCACTCTCTAACAAAATGAGACTTTAGCATAACATAGGAATTCCTTTTTCCTCAGATCAGAATCAAAAGAAGATTGAATGGTTTCAAATGTTATTTATAAACTCTGGAAATCCTATGATGATTCTTGTTATTCAAAGATAAAGTCCACCCCAGCATGCATTTAAAACTATCATTGGCAGCTAAAAGAGTTGTATGCTTACATACAGAGAAGTAAGAATGGATAGAACTTTTTTGGAGTTAAGTTTTTTGCTAAGGGGTTAAGGCAGATTTTCAGGAGTTAAATTAGAGGGACAAGAAGTTTATCAAATATAAAATCATCAACATATCTGCCATATGGGTTTTTAAAAAGATAAGGTGGGTATTTCAAAATGTGGTCAGACATTTAGTATTCTGGGCAAGAAAGATGAAGGAATACAATAAAATTTTATTTTTAAAAAGTAGGCCAAAATAAATGGTCAAAAATGGGGACTCATTTATAGCACCATTTCCCCCCATCCTAATAGTTTAGAATGAGCTTCCAACTTTAAGGGGAGAAACTGACAAGCATTCAAACGTTTGTGAAAAATACAGTTTCAACCTACTTAAAAAATGATTTCCTGAAATACTTCATATCTAAATTTGATGGAAACTAATATTTATTCTTTTGCTAATGGTTTCATGTCACAAAATTCATGGATATTAGCATATAATTTCATTATTTCAAAATTCAAACCTTTTAGAAGGAAAGCTTGACTCCTTATCTTTTGAGTTATCAGCAGTAATCAGAAGATTTCTCCACAAAGCAGTCTTTGACATTTCATCAGAAATATTTATCACAGAAGGATCATCTCTAGATAGGAGTTTACCCAAAATGAAATAATAAATATTAAATAAGTAACAGCAGTTATCCCATGATAGAAATGAAATATATACCTTTGTACAATATTTTGTACAATATGTTTCTAATTAAAAACTAAGAAAAATTAAATAGCTGTCTTGAGTATAAAACAATCTGTGAAAAATCAAAATCTAAAGGCTTCTAGTTGCATGAAACTGATTTGGCCACAATTTTCTTCATTTATTTCATATTATAGAGATTAGGTTCTGTATGTTGATTGCTTAGTCTCTTGCTCATCACATATCAAACAAAGCAGTCTTTTAAAATTTAGGTCAGATCACATCACTACTCTGCTCAGAAGCCTGCAGTGTTTTCAAAGCACCTAGTAAGTATTAAAGCTAAAGTCCTTACAAAGCCCCCTGACCTCATCGATTGCTGCTTGCAACCTGCTTGCTTCTGGAACAAGACAGCTGCTGCCTCCAGGCCTTTGTCCTTGCTCTTCCCTGTGCCAGAAAGTTCCTTTCCATTGTGAAAGCCATTCCCCCTATTATGGATTGAATTATGTCCTACAAAAATATGTTTCAACTTGGTGAGGCCATGATTTTCAGTATTACGTAACTCTCCTCTATTTTGTGATCTGATGTCATTATCCAAGTGCTGGAAATCCTAAGCTTTTTAAGGTTAGTGAGCAGAAGTAGAGGCAGTTATGTTAATAAGTCAAGATACACTCTACAGGATTAGGTTGCATCTTTTGAGATATAAAGTGATTAAACAAGGGAGCAAACAGAGATCAGAGGGGCCTCAGGACCACCAAGACAGAACAGGCAAGACTAAAGCATGTCCAATGGACTCAGGGTTGCTGTAGTGAGAACTTCCTTCACTCAAGGAAGATGGACGCCAAGACACGTGGAGATTTCCAAGGAACCTTGGGCCTACAGATGTTAAAAGGAGACAAGGACCTTTACCCAGAGCAGATAGAGAAGGCCTTCCCATAGAGTTGGCGCCTTGAATTTAGACTTCTAGACTCCCAAGCTATGAGAGAATAAATTTCTGTTTGTTAAAGCCATCCACCTGTGGTATTTTGGTTATAGCAGCGATTAGACACCCTCCTTTGTCACCTTCTCACAAAGGTATTCTCTAACTATTCTATTTAAACTTGCAATTTTAATTCTTTCCTGGCACTCCTAGCCCTCTTTTGCTGGGTTTATTTCACTTTTCACCATCTGACATACTATATGTTTTACTTGTTTTTTAGTTTCTGTCCCTCCCTATCCCATTCTACTAGAACATAAGCTAACTGCGGACACGGATTCCTTACTAAAACAGAGCTTGGCACTTATTATCCACTCAATAAATATTTGTTGCATAAACGAATACAGAGTGTGCTTCAGACAAGAGTTTTCCTAAATATGGCTAGGAAACTTACAATATTAGGGCCTACATTATGGAAGGGTTTTTTTTTTTGTTTGTTTGTTTTTTTGTTTTTTGTGTGTGTGTGTGTGTGTGTTTAATGGCACCTATTATAGGTGGTGCTTACAATACTGCAAAATATTTGCAGGGTTAGAAATTCAAACAAATGGCAGCACTGATAAACAGAGTCCTAAGGAGCTCTGGTAGCATAGTGGTTACGAATCCAGCTGTGAACCTTAAGGCCAGTAGTTTGAAACCAGCTGTTCCACTGGAGAAAGACGAAGCTTTCTGCTCCCATAAAGATTTACAGACTCAGAAACCCTGTACAGGGTCGCTATGCGTCAGAACTGAGTCCACGGCACACCACTATCACCACCACCAGTCAAAGAAAGTTTCGATGAGTGTGAAAACAGCATCCTTTTTTCCACATAGGAAAGAAATTCTGCTGTGAAAACAATCATGTTTTAAAGAGAGTCTAGGTTGACCTCACATAGTGATTGTCCATAAGACAGCAACAAATTCAACCTTTAAAAAGAACGCTCATGGGTCCCAAGAAAACCCACATATACCCAGTCTGGAAATGTGTTCTGCAATTCTGCTAATCCCTCCAGTCCTTGATCTGCCTAGAATGATGGTTTCAGTGTAACTGAGACCAACTAATTTCCTAAAGAGTGTGATGTGGAATACAAGTTCTATCCTGAGGTTTATAACAATGAGCCCTGTCAGCAAGAGTTTAGAAAATGTTGAACAAAACAAATCCAATGTTTTAAATTAAGTATGATTTAAAAATTTTAATAAGCCAAGGTACATTGTGAATCTCCATACTGGAACACAGCATAGAACATTTTCCAAACTTACATAATCACAAAACTCTTCAGAGCCTCATTAGTACCACATGAGGCTAATTTTCTACAAAATACACTTGAGGAAATGCTAGGTTCAACTAAATAACCAACAGAATTTTAAGATTTAAATATTGTTTCAAAAAAACAATACTCATTGGGCTGCTAACCACAAGGTTAGCAGTTTGAATGAACCGGCAACTCCAAGAGAGAAAGATGAGGCGTTCTGCTCTCGCAAAGATTTACAACCTCAGAAACCCTGTACAGAGTGACCATGAATGGAAACAACTCAGCGGCACACAGCAGCCGCAGCTGGTATATAAAAGAGAGTTTTAAAAGAAAAATACTGACATTAAACTGAAAAAGATGTAATTTTTGGCCAAATATTTGGAGAAAAATTTTTTTTTAGTAACCATAAAGTAGTTTGCTTTCTTATGCTATGTATTTGTTCACAAAGGAGATGAGCACATTTTAGAGAGTTGCATAAGTATTTTCTAAAATTACTGCTATGACTGAATTCTACAATTTAGGAATTAGATTATTTTTTTGGATGGGCATTTTCTTGAGCATATTCCCAGAGGTAAAACATTTACCTGTGATCCACTTAGTTAATACCTAGCTCATTTATCCCAAAAGTGAATCCTGACCCTGTTTTTAGCGGTGCTACTTTATTCTATATATATTATGAAATGAGAAGAAAAACCTTCATATCATAGTTTCCTGACCCCCTTCATTTTACACAGCTTAGCAATATCGCACAGATATGAATGGCCAAATTTAGTACTGAAATCTTGGTATTCTAGTTCCTAATCTCAGTTGTTTCTACTTAATCACAACTTCAACAAACTTATACAGGAATCCATACAGTAATAAATTCCTAATAGAGAATACAAGAGCAAATCCCATTACCCAAAGTGGTGTACCTTTATGTTTGTCTCTTACCTATAGTGCCCTTCCAATGGGAGTTGTACTATGCCCTCATCTTCCATCGCTAACATACTTTGTTCTTCCTGGAAAGACAAATATGAAGTATATCAAGTGAACCTGATGAGTTTCATTTTACTTTAAAGAGGAAACACAGATTAATGTTTCATTAGCTCATTAACCTCAGAGCCTTCCACTTTGTTTGCATTTATTAATTCTAGCACAGGTCCTTTCAATAAAGCATCAGCTAACAAGAACATAAGTAATTAATGAGCTATTCATACCACAAAGTAATTTAAATGCTAACAATCTCCTTCATGTCACTCACTCGATATAAAACAGTTCCAAATTTTACAAATAAAATGAAATATTATAAGGGCAAAATTATTAGTAATGTAATCAATATCATTGTTATACAGTTGAAAGTACATTCCCAAAGTGTTCTACTAGGAGGGTAAAGGGGATGTTTAGAGCAGGAGTCCTCAAACTTTAGTTTACATCAGAATCACCTGGAGGGCTTGCTAAACTACAGATTGCTGAGCTCCACTCCCAAAGTTTCCCACTCAATTCGCCAAGAATTTGCATTTCTAACAAGTTTCCTGGTGATGCAAATACTGTTGGTCTGAAGACTTGAAGTGACATATTAGAACTTTCTTCCTAGTTTCTACTAGGCACCTACTGCCAAAAACCACCACTTAACTGTCAGTTTGTCATACTGTGGTGGCTTGGATGTTGCTGTGATCCTAGAAGCTATGCCACCAGTATTTTAAATACTAGCAGGGTCAACCATGGTAGACAGATTTCAGATGAGCTTCTAGATGAAGACAGACTAGGAAGAAAGGTGAGACAGACTACTTCCGTATACTTAGTCACAGAAAACCTTATGAACAGTCGTGCAACACTGGCAGACAGAACCAGAATATTAACTACTGAAAAATGATGAAGAATACTGTCACCAGAATATTGTCAGATACAGTGTCAAAAGATGAACCCCTCAGGTTGGAAGGCACTTAAAATTTGTCTGGAAAAGAGCTGCCTCCCCAAAGTAGAGTTGACTGTGAAGACAAAAATCGAGAAAACCATTCGGGACCTTCATTTGCTGATGGGACACATCTCAAATTGAAGAGAAACATCTGTAAATATCCATTAATAATTAAACATGGAATGTACTAAGTATAAAACTCGAAAAATTGTCAAAAATGAAATGGAACACATAAACATTGATATGAAATTGGTCAAACATGCAATCAAGATGTACTGATAATTACTGGTGATTGGAATGTAAAGATTGGAAACCAAGTGGAAGGATCAGTAGTTGGAAAATATGGCCTTGGTGACAGAAACAATGCTGGAGATTACCTGATAGAATTTTACAAGACCAATGATTTCCTCAATGTAGATACCTTTTTTAAAAAGAATAAGAGGTGACTATACACATGGACCTCACCACACATAATACACAGAAATCAAATTGACTACATCTATGGAAAGAAACAGTGGAAAAGTTCTATATCATCAGCCAAAACAAGGCCAGGGGCAGAATGTGGAACAGACCATCAGTTGCTCATATGCAAGTTCAGACTGAAGCTGAAGAAAATTTAAACAAGTCCACAAGAGCCAAAATATGACCTTGAACATATCCTATATGGATTTAGAGATAATTCAAAGAACAGATTAGTGCATTAGACCCTAAAGACTGAAGGCCAGAAGACTGTGGGATGACATTACGAACATCATAAAGAAAGCAAATGGTCATTAAGAGGGCAAGAAGGAAAAAAAACAAAATGGATGTCAGAAGACACTCTGAAACTTGCTCTTCAGCATAGAGATGCTAAAGATAATGGCAGAAATGAGGAGGTAAAAGAGCTAAATAGAAACATTTAAATGGGACAAAGTCAAATATTATAATACAATGTGTCAAGACCTGTAGTTAGAAAACCAAAAGGGAAGAACATGCTCAGTATGTCTCAAGCTGCTGGAATTGAAGAAAAAATCCAAGCTTTGACTTCCAATATTGAAGGATTTTATGGCAAAATATTGAATGATGCAGAAAACATCAAAGAAAGATGGATGGAATACGTAGTCACTCTACCAAAATGAAACGGTCAATGTTCAACATGTCAAGAGGTAACATATGATCAATAACCAATGATACTGAAGGAAGAAGTCCAAGGTGTGTTGAAGGCATTGGCAAAGAACAAGGCTCCTTGAATTGATGGAATACAAATTGACATCTTTCAACAAACTGATGAAGTACTGGAGGCACTCACTCATATATGACAGGGAATTTGGAAGACAGCTACCTGGCCAACTGACTGAAAGAGATCTATATTTGTGACCATTCCAAAGAGAGGTGATTCAATGGAATGTGGAAGTCATTGGACAATATCATTAATATCTCATACAAGTAAAATTTTGCTAAAGATAATAAACAAACAAACAAACAAACAAAAAACAGCTGCAAATGTACATTGACAGAAAACTGACAGAGGTTTAAGCCAGATTCAGACAAGTACATGGAATGATGGATATTATTCATGATGTTCGATGGATCTTGGATGAAAGCAGAAAATACCAGAAAGATGTTTACCTGTGCTTTTTTGACTATGCAAGGGATTTCTATTGTGTGGCTCATGACAAGTTATGGACAACATTGTGGAGAATGAGTATTCCAGAACACTTAATTGTGCTCATGAAGAACCTGTACATAGACCAAGAGGTAGTCATTTGAATAGAACAAGGGGAGACAGAATGGTTTAAAATTAGCAAAGGCGTGCGCCAGGGTTGTATTCTTTCACCATACTCATTCAATCTGTATGTTGAGCACATAATCTGAGAAACTGGATTACATGAAGAAAAATGTGGCATCGGGACTGGAAGAAGACTCATTAATATGCAGATGTAATATGCAGATGATACAACCTTACTTGCTGAAGGTACAGAGAATTTAAAAATCCAAGATCCCAATCTTCGGTATGGGTTTCACCTCAAAGTAAGGAAGAAAAAAATCTTCACCAATGGATCAATTATCAATATCCATATAAATGGAAAAAAAAATTAAAGTTGCCAAAGATTTCATTTTTCTGGCATCAGCCATCAACACTCATGGAAGCAGCAGTCAAGAAATTAAATGATTAGGCAAATCTGTAGTACAAGAACTCTTTAAAGTGTTGAAGAGCAAAGATGTCAGTTTGAGGACAAAGGTGCACCTGACCCAAGCCATGGTATTTTCAATAACCTCATATGCATATGAAAGTTGGACAGAGAATAAGGAAGATTGTAGAAGGATTGATACATTTGAGTTATGGTGTTGGAGGAGAATAGTAAAGGTACCACGGACTGCCAAAAGAATAAACAGATCTGTATTGGAAGTAATATAGCCAGAGTGCTCCTTGGAAGCCAGGATGGCCAGACTTCATCTCTTATACTTTAGACATATTGTCAGGAGGGACCCGTCTCTGGAGAAGAATATCATTTTTGGTAAGGTGGAGAATCAGAGAAAGAGGAAGACCCCCAATAAGATGGATTGGTACAGTGACAGTAGCAATGAGCACAAATGTAGCAGTGATTGTGAGTTTGGCGCAGGACTGAGCAGTGTTTTTTGTGTGTGTGAATTATGTGATAGTTTACATGGGAGAACATTAGCTTTACATTCATCCTATTGTATTTTGTTTCACTGTAATGATTACAATACCCTCCATGAATCATCAGACAAGCAAAGGGTACACCCCGCAATTCTACCCCCGGCCATCAGCACACAGCCCTCTCCCTCCCTGAGTCCAGAGTTCCCAGCCGCTCTATCTCTCCACACCGTCCTCGCTGCCTCCATCTCTGGTGTCACTGCTTCTCAGGGTAGGGCCCCACACTCCACTCTTCTCCCTTGATGGTTCCAGGAACCTCCACTCCTGGACTGCAAAATCAACTACTTTCCTCCTTTTGTTATAAAACATCTACCATTACATTTCCAACCCTCACAGTCAGTCTTGATAGCAGTTATTCACAATTGTACCACCAGAGTCTTATCCCCATCTCCTTTCATCAGCCCCATCCAGACAGATTGGAAGCCACTCAGTAGAGATTCTATCTTCCCCTGCACCCTCTGGAACTAGGCTCCCTCTTGAAAGCTTGTAAGCTGGTCACTTCTTGCCTTTGAAGCCCCCTATTTTGGTTAGCCAATGTCTAAGTTGCTGGGCAGTGTTTTGTTTTGTTTTGCATAGGGTCACTATGAGTAGGTACTGACTCGGCACTTATCAATAACAACATCTTCCTAGTAGGATCAAAACACAGGTGTGGCTGCATGGGGCAGTAAATTAAGTAGCTGATTTCACTTTGATGCATTTGAGACTTTGGTTTCATGGCTCAGATAACTCTCCACAATGTCAATATTTCACCCTTCTCAATGGGTGGAAATTATTTAGATATTTGTTTTTTTCATATATAATATTTTAAAACTGTTACCTGGGGGATGAAAATAATCTGTGTTTACCATACTGAAATGTTATAGTTCAACTTGTTTCAAACACCAAAACGGAAATTTAGTTATTTGTAATTAGAGCTCCTGGGGAGTGCTGTGACTCTGTAGGATACACACTGGGCTGTGAACCACAAAGTCAGCAGTTAGAGCCCACCAGCCGCTCCAGGGGAGAAAGACAAGGCTTTTAGCTTCTAGATTTAGAGCTTCAGAAATCCTATGTAGCCTCGCTGATTCCAAAGAACTTAACAATCATAACAAATTAGAGCTCCTATTGAATTCATTTATTTTAAATGGATCAATTAGCACTGCTCACATTCGGAGAACTATTCCGAGCCACTTAAGAATACTAGAATTATTAGTAATCTCATTTCAGAAATGGAATTTAAAGATGTATAAAAATGAAGAATTGTCCAAATGTACAGTGATAGAAAACAAGAGAAGTCACCTTGGAGTCTCATCTTCCCTTTTTCAATAATTCAGCAGGGAATTAACTCAGCTAATTCTCTCTCAGCTACTGAGAGAGAAGAGGGCATTATTCCTAGTATACAAAGCTATTTCCAGGGCATTCAGTATGCACACTGTGGCCCTCAACTTGCCCACTCCATAATCTGA